GGAGGAACTGTAGGTAATTTTACAGAATTAAAATTCGCGACACCATTCATATTGCTGGATGTAGGTCTAGTTGAAGTTGCTGTAGGCCTAGATGCACTACGAGAACTCGACTGTCCTTCTTCGTCCGACATTTTGTTTTCTCTCCGCGACCACGTTTTCTAATTTTCACCAAATTTCTCAGTTATTATAGTCTATACATGTACATACCATTCACTATTCGTTACTTCTGAATCCAGTTAACTTCTGACACCATGTTTTATTATGTTGTTTATTCATAAAATAGAACGTAAGCAGTAATACAAATGGTTTAATATCGGTGATACATTACAGACTCGTAGGCCATTGGCAAGCTTCTAGAACAAGAGTGATCATAATCACGTGTCTCTCGTGATGACGTCATATAGCGGGAAATACAAACTTGTTATCTAACAGTACATAATACAACAATAGGTTATACTTATCGTAAAGTTTGGTCAAAGGTTACATTTTGACCTTTGACTCTTATAGAATTATATAACCTTTGACCCGGGTCATTGTCAAAAATTGACCTTTAAACTCGGTGATGTAATTGATCTAGGTCATGACCACTGTGATCTGGCACGGTCATAGTCTGAATGCCTGAATCGCTCATCGAGACATTTACTACCACATGTTTGATGAAGACGACCTTGGGTGACGACATTGATGACGTCACATGCCAAATATGGTACAAAACCGTGCGCGTCGTGATTTGAAATTGGGTGCGGGAGCTTTGGCTGCGTCCGAAGCTAGATACGACGCTAACGCGAACGCCTGGTCGAAACACTTGTATGCCAGACCATAGATCTAATTCAAACATGAAAGCCGACGCCAACGCTGACTCAGAAGCTCGGTGGAACGTTTCAACCTTGGTCGTGTACGTGTTATGTTGTTTTAGCAATTGACCTAAAGTTACAACTGTTTTAACCTTTGACCTAGCGTCACATTGTTTGAACTCTTAGCTCAACGTTAGCCTTATCGCTATGTTGGGTCAAAGATTACACGGTTGATTTAAAACGTTGAATCTAAGGTTAAACTTATCGTAACATTTGTATGGTATTATCCTTTATGATAATATAATCTGGCAACACTGCATCTGATAATAAAAATGTATGCTGGCAAGAGGGGGCTGCGGGAGTTATGGACCTTGGCTTGGAGTGGAAAGGATTGTTATTTGAAATCATTCATAAGTCTATGAATCTATACATTAATTTAATTTAAACATGAATAAAACATTTGTATTCAAATCAGCTTATTATAATGGCGACGAGGACTAAAGGCTCAAGCAGTGAATTTTCGTTTATTCAAAGAAAAACATTCTAGTAAACAAACATTTTTTGTGACCACCTTCACACTATTTTACATTTTTTGAACAAAATGGCAGTTCACAACGAATCTCAACTTAATTCAACGCCTTATTTTGATCCTGAAAAGCACCCGAAAGACACTCTAAAGGCTTTCACGGAATTTGTCATATGCTTTGAACTACGTTATGATGCCCAATATCCGGATCCACCAAACGTGTGGTTACTTTAGGTCAAAGGTTAAACTTACCGTATCATAAAGTTAAAGGTTAAACTTATCGTTATGTAAGGTCAACTCGTTTTTACTAAGTCAAAGTTCAAACGTATCATTAGGTTAGTTCAAAGGACTGTTAAACTTAAAGTGCGGTCAAAGGTTACAGGCTAAATTCTAACCAAAGGTCAAGGTTCAAACTATGATTAAGTTAGGTCAAAGGTTGAACATATCGTAACGTTTGGTCAAAGGTTACATTTTGAACTTTGACTCGTATAGATTTATATAACCTTTGACCCGATCATCAAAGTCACATACAAATGATTGACCTTTCAACTATGACCGGGTCATGTCAAAAATTGACCTTTAATCTCGGTGATGTAATTGATCTAGGTTATGACCGCTGTGACTTGACACGGTCATAGTCTGACATGACACGACCCGGTCGTGGGTCACGGACGTGACACGGTCACTATTGGTCACAATTTTAGTATATAGCCCGGCTTGACCTCCATAATGACATTTACGTGACCGCTGAAAATACAGAATGGAAACAACACTAGCAATCGAACGCGCCCAATGCTCTGAGAGCTTGGAACAATACGGATACAGACTCGATGCCTACCTTGGTGAAGGAGCCTGTGGCAAAATCTACTCATGTGAGAGAATTTCGGATAATTTAATGCTTGCTGTGAAAATTATTCGAAAGGACAATTCAAACAAATTCCTCGAGCGAGAAATATCTGTAATGAAGAGTCTCCATCATGACAACATTGTAAATTTACATAATGTTGTTGAAACACACGACAAGTATTACTTGATTATGGATTTAGCTAGTCAAGGTGATCTATTAGAATTTGTTGGTCTTCACGGTTCCCTAAATTCCGAGAAGTCCAAGAAAATCTTCAGACAAATTGTTGCTGCAGTTTCCCACTGTCATCAACAAGGAATCGCTCACCGAGATTTGAAGCTAGAAAATATCCTCTTGACCCAGACGAGTCAGGTCAAGTTAGCTGATTTTGGATTCAGCCGACAAATGACAACCAGTGATCTTTTCAGCCAGACATTCTGTGGTAGTGTAGCTTACACTGCTCCTGAAGTCTTACAGGGAAAGAAGTACAGCCCATTCCAGTCAGATGTCTGGAGCATGGGAGTCCTTTTATATGCCATGTTTGTTGGTCGATTACCATTCGACGATTCAAATGTGACAAGAATGGTTCGATCGCAATTGAAGCAATTGATCCCACTTTCAGCGGACATGAACAGTGAGTTAAAGCAGCTAATTTTACAGATGCTTAATCCTGAAGTCGAACAGAGGATAACATTGGAGGAAATCCGAAAATCCGAGTGGCTTAAGGAGTAAATACATAATACTGGGAAGTATCCGGTGGATAATTTCTGGTAATTAATCATATTTTTTTACAATCATCAATTTCAATATCACCATCATCACCATCAACAATATCATCATATCTACTTTGACCTAACTTGATAATTTTAACGTTACACAGGTTTTAAATTTTATCGTTACGAAAAGCTTAACCTTTGACCTAATGTTAGAGCACTTACGTTACTTGTCGCTTCTGGTAAAAGAAGTAGCATTATTATGACTGTCGTTACATTAAGTCAAAGCTTAAACTTATTGTTGCGTAAAGTCAAAGATTATCGTTATGTAGGGTAAAAGGTTACCTGTTTTTACGTTACGTATGTTAAAGACTAAATTCTAACCGAAGGTCAAGGTTCAAACCTATCATAAAGTTAGGTCATAGGTTATACTTATCGTAAAGTTTGGTCAAAGGTTACATTTTGACCTTTGACTCTTATAGAATTATATAACCTTTGACCCGGGTCATTGTCAAAAATTGACCTTTAAACTCGGTGATGTAATTGATCTAGGTCATGACCACTGTGATCTGGCACGGTCATAGTCTGAATGCCTGAATCGCTCATCGAGACATATTTACTACCACATGTTTGATGAAGACGACCTTGGGTGACGACATTGATGACGTCACATGCCAAATATGGTACAAAACCGTGCGCGTCGTGATTTGAAATTGGGTGCGGGAGCGTTGGCTGCGTCCGAAGCTAGATACGACGCTAACGCGAACGCCTGGTCGAAACACTTGTATGCCAGACCATAGATCTAATTCAAACATGAAAGCCGACGCCAACGCTGACTCAGAAGCTCGGTGGAACGTTTCAACCTTGGTCGTGTACGTGTTATGTTGTTTTAGCAATTGACCTAAAGTTACAACTGTTTTAACCTTTGACCTAGCGTCACATTGTTTGAACTCTTAGCTCAACGTTAGCCTTATCGCTATGTTGGGTCAAAGATTACACGGTTAATTTAAAACGTTGAATCTAAGGTTAAACTTATCGTAACATTTGTATGGTATTATCCTTTATGATAATATAATCTGGCAACACTGCATCTGATAATAAAAATGTATGCTGGCAAGAGGGGGCTGCGGGAGTTATGGACCTTGGCTTGGAGTGGAAAGGATTGTTATTTGAAATCATTCATAAGTCTATAAGTCTAAGCAGTGAATTTTCGTTTATTCAAAGAAAAACATTCTAGTAAACAAACATTTTTTGTGACCACCTTCAGTGCTTCACACTATTTTACATTTTTTGAACAAAATGGCAGTTCACAACGAATCTCAACTTAATTCAACGCCTTATTTTGATCCTGAAAAGCACCCGAAAGACACTCTAAAGGCTTTCACGGAATTTGTCATATGCTTTGAACTACGTTATGATGCCCAATATCCGGATCCACCAAAAGTTTCCCTGGATGCTGCATTAGAACGATGGAAGATACAAAACACTACCGCAGAAAATAGAGATCCCAAACCTACTATTCTCCAACATGACACAGTTAGAAATGCATGGCGTGTGGCTAAGCTTCTTGGTATGTTTACTTCCAGCAGATTCTACGCTGATTGGCTGACAGCTGAACCTGACGAACAGATCCGTAAAGATATCGGTTGGGACGACTTTCTAACCAAAATGCGGCGATTTTATAAAGGATCTGATAATGAGACTGTCCAAAATTTCCATTTTAGAGATATTTCACAAGAACCTGATGAAACATTCCCAGGTTTTTGCAACAAAGTTAAAAGAGAAGCTAAACATTGTGCTTTTAAATATGACAGTCCTACATGTACAGCGGAGTCTACAGCCATCAGAGATCAGATAATTATTGGAACATCCAACAACAATATCAGAGAAGAAGCTCTTCTTAGAGATTGGAATCTCACAGATTTATACCAAAAAGGGATGGCAATGGAGAGTGCTGCTAGAGGTGGTACCGAAATTGCAGGTGAAACTTTAAATAGAGTTGGTCAATATTCTTACAATTCACTTCTGAAATCGAAGCAGTCCGAAAAAGCTAGAAAGCCCACTTCAAACCAACGAGTACTAAACTGCTTTTATTGTGGAAACAACTTTTCGACTTCTATCGATCAACATCGATCTAGATGTCCAGCTCGCAATGTAACATGCA